TCTTGGTTTCAGGATCCTTGCTTTTCATTACTTTGAATACTTCGTGCCAATCCCTTTTGTCCTAAAGTGTTTTTGTTGAGAAATCTGCTAACAGCCTTATGGGAACTCCTAGTAACTTTCTGTTTCTCTTCCTGCCTTTAAGATTCTTTCTTTGTCTTTAACATTTGTCATTTTAATTATGATGTGTCTTAGTGTGGGTCTCTTTGCATTCTTTTTACTTGGGACTCTCTGTGCTTCCTGACAGAGTGACTGTGTGAAAAAGAACTGTGTGACTTTTTCCTTCAGCAGTTTATGAAAGTTTTTACTCATTATTTATCTATCCCTTGCTCACTTTCTTCTCCTTCTGGTACCCCTATGATGCAGATGTTGTTTTTTTTTGTGTTGTCCCAAAGTTCCCTTAAAGTATCCTCTTTATTTATTTATTTTTTTCTTTTTGTTGCTCTGGGTGGATTTTTCTACATTGTCTTACAAATCACTTATTTGATCCTTTGTTTCATCAAGCCTACTATTTATTCTTTTCCATGTATTCTTTATATCAGCTATGGTATTCTTCATTTCTACCTAATTATTTTTCATGATTTTGGTGTCCTTTTTTATGCTGTTAAGCATTCTTTTAACCATTGCTTTGAGCTCTGTTTCTAATAATTTGCTTGCCTCCATGACATTTAGCTGTTTTTGTGAAGAGTCCTCCTTTTCTTTTTTTGACAATTGTTTCTTTGTCTCCCTATATTGGCTGTCTTTTTGTGTTTGTTTCTATGTATTAGATAGAACTGCTATGACTCCCAGTTTTTATGGGGTTCCCTTATATAGTAGGTGTCCTGTGGGACCCAGTGGTGCAATCTCCTTGATATCCTTAGTCGGATGCTCTAGGGATGTCCCTTGTATAGGTTTTGTGGGTCCTCCTGTTTTAATTGGGTCTTGATTACTGTTGGCCTATTCATTGGTGGGATCGACCCTCAGGCTGACTGACTATGTAGCCCAACCCTGACCACGGTATGCAAGTTGCTATGCAGGTGCAGTCTTGAAGTGTCTTGTTGGGCTCAATGGCACAGTCATCCAGATCACCTGTGGTCTGTGCTCCAGGAATGTTTCTTGTGAGTTGTGTGCTCCCCTGTTTTGTTTGTGCCTTGAGGAATGTTGTTGGGTCTTTCGTGGGTGGAGTTAACCCTTCAGGCTCAGTGGCTATAAAGGTAAACCTCAATAGTTGTGTGTGAGATGCTGTGTAGTGGCTGCCTTCCGAAGTGGAGTTGTTCCCAGCAGGGTCTGGTGCCTGTCAGAATCTTCTTTGGATGTGTCACTTGTATGTCTTGTTGGGTCAAGCTCTGGTGTGATCTGAAGCCCACCACTGGTTGTGCTGGTTCTGGGTGCACTTGGGTGGCATTCAGGTACAGGTCACTGTCAGATGGTTTATGCAACCAGTTTGGGCTACCTGTCTGGAGCTACCATGCTATTTACTGTTTATGTCTGCATCTACTGGACCTGGGTGTGCCAGGGAGAGCCAGTCTGTGTAGATGGATTGGCTTCCTGGAGCTCTGAGCTGGGGTCAAATCAATAAAAGTCCAAGGCTCTCTGAGATCTGCGTCCACCTGTTGGCTACTCCATTCCCCCTTGAGGTTGCCTGGACTTCCTCCTGAGTCTTATGCAGAAGCCTGTAGAAAGGGCCCAACCTGGCTACATACCACTAACCCTTCCCCAGGGCTCTAGCTCAGTAGGTCTAACGAGTTTAGGTGGACAGAGCTAATGGGTCCCCTGGTTTGGGGCACTGTGGTCTAGCAGTCATTGAGGAGAATGTGGCCCCTATTCCAGAGCTATACCATTCAGTCTCTGCCAGAGTCCCCAACTCTAGCTCCCCAAGGAGGAGGGCACTGCAGGTTCAGGTTAGGGGTAGCCATTTGTTCTCATGGCAGGAGCAAGCTCGACAGGACAGGACCGGGTCCCTGGGACTTGGGAATATAGATAAACACTTCTTATGGGGGTGGCACCAATTGTGCCACCAGAGGTGAGCAAGCTGCTCTCCTCCTAGCTAGGCAGCATACCACCAGAGACCTCAGTGGGAGGCTCTGAGGGTGTCACACCATATGTTCCAGTTCTGAATTTTTCTTCCTTCCTCCTGCAAAACTGTGCTTGGCAGGCTGGTGCCAGTAGAATTTGGGAATGCAAATCAAGGCAGCCCTCCGCTGGGAGTGGTGCAGGGTTGAGGGAGGGGTGCAAATGCATGCCTCCCCCTAACTCCACAGCTGCCCACTGCCTGAGACCTTGACAAGGAGTGTTCCATTGGGGATGGCGCCCAACCCAAGGGAGGGGAGGAAAATCGACCCTTATTCCAAAGCCTCTCAGCTCAGTGATCATCTGAGAGTCTGGACTTTCTCCAGAAAAAGAGTACACCTCGGGTCCTTGTTGGGTGCAGCCAACAGTTCTTTCTGCCAGACTCCATCTTGGTAGAGTGGTGTCACCAGTATTTGGAGGACGAGGTTAGTGCACTCTCTGCAGCTGGTGCTGTAAGAATAGAAATGCTCGACCCTGGAAGATGGTACCTAAGGGTGGTGTGGGATGTTGACTCAGGATCGGGACATCAGTAGCCAACCTTCCAAATTTCTGGAGCTATGTCACCCAGATCTTCTCTTTATGGCTTCTGTATGCCCTGAGTCCCCTTCCCTCTACCAGAGCCCTGAGTGGGTGTCCATGAGAGAGCCCCTGTGCATTGGCCCTTAAGGAGAGCACCTGGAATTCTTAAAGACTCCCTCTTCTTTCCAGCAGACAAAGTCCCTGCTTATTTTTGCTGCCAGATGCTATGTATGCACCTCTTCCTGGCCCTGGTACTCTGGTTTGGGGGTTCCAGTGTGGTGTTGAGACCCCACTTTCTTCAGGGAGAATTTTGCAGCCACAACTTCGTCCAGCTTTTCAGCCACTGCACCTGGGTACAGAGACCAGCCCTCTCTGCATCTCCATCCTCTTACCGGTCTCTATGTAGCTTATTATTTCAGTTCTTGGATATAATCCTCCAGATTAGGTGTCCTTCAGTTGTTTATTCAGGTTGATTGCTCTAAATTTTAGCTATAAATCTGGTTTGGCATCGGAAGGAGGAATATGTTGCTTTCACCACTCAGCAGCCATCTTGGACCTGGAATCTTAAACCTTTTATCATACATTTATCAGCTCTTCTTACTCCACCTTTTAATTGTCAGCTCTTACCCTTTATCTGACTTCCTGTCAGATTTTTATTATTTTTGTTTATCAGGTTATGGGAGATCGTGTATATATTTCACACATATTTTCTCATTTGACTACTTTTAAGGTTTTTGCCACTATTTTCACTTCCTGCAGAATGTCAGATATTAAGTAATCAGATTCATTGAAATTATACTTTGCCAATTTAACATGTCTATTCAAGTTCTCTTGTCATGGATTCTTATGTAATTTATTAGTCATTCTGCTGAAGAAGGACAAGTAATACATATGTTTGTATATGACGACCCATAAATTATAAAAACATAATATACTATTTTATATAATAGAATGTAAGATAAAGTAATTATAAAATGTAGGTACTTTTTAAAGTCTTAAATTCTTCATTTTAGAAAGCATTTTTAAAATTAAAACTTATTGTTCTGTTCACTACTTTTGCTTTCTTAAAGTAAAATTCTATTTTGTGGTGTTCAGCGAGTCGTCCTATTAAATTTAGTAAGTTTATTATTTTATCCACCTCTCCCTTTATTTTCTTCACATTGTATTATTCCAAAATAATAAAATTTTTCAAACATACAGAAATGTTGAAACAGTTTCACAGTGAACACGCACATACTCATCACCTATTTCTCCACTTAACCTTCTACTCTGTGTGCTCTGTCATTTATCTCTCTTAATTGGTCAATCCAGGTTATTTTTTTGTGCAAGTAGGTTGGAGACATAAGTATACCTCCTAAACATTTCAGAATGAACATCATTAACGCGAGTTCAATATTTGTCTGAAATTTTTTAATTTTTGAGGTAAAATTATATACAATGAAATGGACAATTTAATTGTACCCTTTCATGATTTTTGATTAATACACAAATCTGTGTAACCTAAATCTCTCTTAAAATCTAGAACATTACCCTTATCATGGGAAGCTCCCTCATGCTCCTTCCCGGTCAGTCCTCATCACCACTCCCTCCCCAGAAGTTCTGATTGTTTTCTACCATAGATTATCTGCACCTCTTCTAGAACTTCAAATAAATGGATTAACATGTACTCTTCTACATACTGTATGTTTTTATACTTATCCATATTGTTGCATATATCAGTAGTTTGTTCCTTTTTGATGCTAGTAGTATTGTGTGAGGTAGACTTTTTAAAATATGAATTTACAGTTATTGTCACACTTACTTGTTTTCTTTTTCTGTAAGATGGCTTTTTCAAAAATCAGATGCGTATAAATGTGGATTTATTTCTGGGTTTTTCATTCAGTACCTACTAATATTATGAAATAAGCATTTTTTCCCCCTCATACTAATTTCTAGTTGTCGCAGCCCCATTTGTTGAATAGAATTTTGCTTTGGATTACTTTGCTGCCTTTATCAAAAATAAAACAACCACATAAATGTGGGTTTATTTCTGGGCTTTCTATTTAATTTTGTTGATATGTTCATCAGAGTTTATGTCAGTACCATTCTGTCTAATTTAAGTAAGTCTTTCCGTCATGGAGTATAAGTCCTCCAATTTTGTTCTTTGTCAAGATGCATCCTTGATTCTTGCATTTCTACCTACATAGTAGAATCTGCTTCTCTTTCTACACTTAACCCTCTGCAATTTTTATTATGATTATACTAAATCTGCAGATTAATTGGGGGATAATCAATATCTTAACTATATTGAGCATTCCCATTCCTTAACTCGGTATATTTCACTATTTGTTTAGATTTTTTTCCAGTTTCTCAGCAATGTTGTCTAGTTTTTAATGCCTCATTGAATTTTTAATAGATTTTAAAACTGTATAACTCCCTTTTCCTTCTTCTTATAGGCTCTGGATCAGTATCACTATATGAGGTAGAAAGATGTCAACAACTGTCAGCTACAAGTAAGACCATGTTTTTATTGTTGAAATATGGGCATAATAAAATCTGTCCTTACACATATCAATAAATTAATTTCTATCAGATATTGAGTAGATACTCATGAGGGCAAAAATATATCTATATATATATTTTTTTTAATCCTCATCCGAGGACATTTTTCCATTTTTTGTACAGACAGTGTGGGAGGGAAAGAGAAAAAGAGAGAGAGAGGGAAACATCGATGTGAAAGGGACACATCGAGTGGCTGCCACCCGCACGACCAACCAGGGCCGGGGACAAACTGGAACCGAGGTACATGCCCTTAGCGGAAACCAAACCCGGGTCTCTCCGGACCGCAAGCGGACGCTCTAACCGCATAGCCAAACCGGCCAGAGCTTTTCTTTTTCTTTTTTGTTTGAGTTTAAAGTTATTTATTTATTTTTTTTGTAGTACATGCTCCTAGCAGGAACCGAACCCGGAACTCTCTGGTCCACAGGCTGACACTCAACCACTGAGCCAAGCTGGCCAGGGGAAATTATCTATATTTATCTATTATTCCTCTACCTCATCCTAACTGGCATAAAATGGAACCCAGAAAAATATATGTTTTTACATTAAATATGTATTTAAAGTCATGTTTCTGTAAGATTTATAAAACATACTTTTTTACAGTATTGTGGGGCTTATTTTCAGTTTAAGAATGTAAACTATCTTAGTCTGACACTAATTTTAATCAGCTCACATTATGCACGTAGCAGTGTTCATAAAACAGCTCCTGACAATAGGCCCCAAACTTTAATTTAATGTTAACAATTATAGTCTATCACATGCTCTCCTTCTGTTACTTCAGCTAAGATAAGAACATTTTCTTTAAAATTTTTAAGCACAGGTCTTTTAATGTTCTATAATATTACTATTATAAAATATAGGTTTCTCATTATTAGAGAAAGGACATATAACTGAAAATGGGAGAAGACTAGAAGGTTGTGGTATTGTGTTGGAATTTGAGGTGTCAATATGTATTCATGGTTTTATAAATAGATAACAGATGTGGATTTGTATATATGTATTCACTCATGTATGTGTATGTGTGTGTATACACACACACACACACACACATCGTGTGTATAAGTATAGGTAAGGTCATATGTGCATATATACCCTAGCTCTATCAACCAAAGGCCATAGAAACAATGGCACCTTGTTGCAGTAAGCATGCTTAGTGCACAGGTCTTAGTTGATAAATAATATTTCCCCTTGAAAGGAATTAGAGCTCTTGGAGAAATAGCAGCTTCCAGAGTTGGGAGAGGAGTATCATAAGATAATGGAACATGTCAAATCTTGTACAAATTGAGCATCAAAATAAAAAATACTAGTGATGGAATGGAACTTATTGAATAAAGTAAGAATTCAGTTGTTAGTTGGAGGGATCACAATACCAGGTTTCAGGTTATACTACAAAGCCACTATAATCAAAACAACCTGGTACTGGCACAAGAACAGGTATATAGACCAGTGGAACAGAATAGAGAACCCAGAAATGGACCCAAGGCAATATGCTCAATTAATATTTGACAAAGGTGGCAAGAGCATAAAGTGGAGTATAGACACCCTCTTTAATAAATGGTGCTGGGAAAATTGGACAGCTACTTGCAGAAAAATGAAACTAGACCATCAACTTACACCCTACACCAAAATAAACTCAAAATGGATAAAAGACTTACATGTAACTCATGAATCCATAAAAATCCTAGAGGAGACTGTGGGCAACAAAATCTCAGACATCATACGCAGCAGAATTTTTACTGACACATCACCTAAGGCAATAGAAACAAAGGAGAAAATGAACACATGGGACTACATCAAACTCAAAAGCTTCTGCACAGCGAAAGATACAATCATCAAAACGGAAAGGCTACCCACTGTATGGCAGAGCATAATTGCCAATGATATATCAGATAAGGGGTTAATTTCCAATACATATAGAGTGCTCATACAACTCCACAAAAGGAAGACAAAGAATCCAATTAAAAAATGGGCAGATGACCTAAATAGACACCTCTCCAAACAGCACATACAAATGGCTGAGAAACACATGAAGAAATACTCATCATCACTAATCATCAGAGAGATGCAAATCAAAACAACAATGAGGTATCACCTCACACCTGTCAGAATGGCCGCCATCAACAAATCATCAAACAACAAGTGTTGGCGAGGGTGTGGAGAAAAGGGGACGCTAGTGCACTGCTGGTGGGAATGCAGACTGGTGCAGCCACTATGGAAAACAATATGGTGTCACCTCAAAAAATTAAAAATTGATCTTCCATTTGACCCAGTGATCCCACTTCTAGGAATATACCCTATGAAGCATAAAACACCAATAAGAAAGAATATATGTACCCCCATCTTTGTAGCAGCACTATTTACAATCGCTAAGATCTGGAAACAGCCCAAGTGTCCATCAGTAGACAAATGGATCAAAAAGCTGTGGTACATATGCACAATGGAGTACTACGCAGCAGTAAGAAAGAAAGATCTCTTATCCTTTGAGACTACATGGAACAAGCCAAACAGAGAAAGACAAATTTCATATGATCTCATTTATTTGTGGAATATAATGAACATAACAGTTTGAGGAATGGGGTAGTCCCAGAGACGCGGAAGCCGGGTACGGACTGACAATCCCCTAAGGACTGGGGAGGTGGGGGAGGGATGAACCACAGAACTTATACGCATGTATGCATGAACAGTGGACATGGACAACAATCTGGGGAAGGGGCAGGGAGGGGAGGGAGGGGGGGGAATCAGTGGGGGGAAAAAAGGAGAATCATCTGTAACAAAAATTAATCAATAAACAAGTAAATAAAAAAAAATTCATTTGTTCATGTGGATAATAAATAAAAGAAAAAAAAAACCCCACAAATAATAGAAGTTGAATGGAAAGCTCTTATTAAAAATGGAATAGCAACTCCATACTGTTTTCCACAGTGGATGCAGGAGACTCCTGCAAAAAATGTCAACATAAAAAGATTTTAATTAAAAAAAATAGAATAGTAACTAACAAATAAAAGGAATGAAGACTTTAGGGGAGAAAAGAAAAAACACTCTTTGCAACCATGATTGTAATAGTTGATTTTGTTGTGAATCACCAGTGTGTCCAAAACTAGTGGAATCTTTAATGTTTAATAAGATTGGGATATTTATATTTTCCTAATTACTGTCTCATTAGTTGAAAAGGGGGAAAATGAATTTATAGTGGAGAAATCTGTTGAACTCCACCTTAACCAACTGAGCAAAATTAACATCCCCGGGAACGAAAACGCTGATATCATATGCCTCTTGATGGACATACTGAGAAGGCCACATGTCATTTATATAGTGGTATTCCTGCCAGAAATGCATAATTTATACCTGATCATGAGAAAAGCTGGGTGCACCCAAATAAATGGCCTCCTCTCAAATGCATCAATGTCACGAAAGACAAAGAAAAGCTGAGGAACCGTTCATCATTAAAGGAGCCCAAAGAGACAGGAAAAGTAAATGAAATGTATGGTTCATGCCCAACTGGTGTGGCTCAGTGGATTGAGCATTGTCCCATGCACCAAGAGGTCACCGGTTTGATTCCCGGTCAGAGCACATGCCCAGGTTATGGGCCCGATCCCATGCAGAGGGCATGCAGGAGGCGGCCAGTCCATGTTCTCTCTCTCCCTTCCTCTCTCTCTAATCAATAAAGAAAAAATGCATGGTTCATGTTTGGATTCTCAACCCAGAAATAAAATGGCTAAATAAGAACATTATGAGGATAGCTGGAGAAATTTGAATAAATCTGTTGATTCAGTGAAAATATTACACCAATATTAAATGTTCTGATGTTGAAAATTGCACTGTATTATGTTAATGAAGTTTCTTGTTTTGTTTGAAATACACAGTAAATAGGGATAAAAGGGTGTGATGTCTGGAAATTATTCTCTAAGTATTTATATATATAAATATTTATATAAATATATAAAGAATTTATATATATACACATATATATATTTACACACACACATAAATGACTTATGTATCTGTAAGGTTTCTATGTATATGGAGGGAGAGGCAGTGATAAAGACAGATGGAGATATTGATAAATGTGTCAAAATGTTACCAAGGTTGACAAATAATATAACTTAATTGGATTTTATTGTATGTGTTTTCAGGGGGACTCATGTCATGAATATACTTATTATTGTTTTAGATTATTCTACCTTAATCTAAAAATTCTTTATAGTACTTACAGATCATCAGTACTTGGAGAACACCCCACTATGTGCTATTTTGAAACAAAAAGCTCCTCAACGATATCGCATCCGAGCAAAATTAAGGTCATATAAGCCCAAAAAACTCTTTCAGTCTGTTAAACTTCATTGTCCGAACTGTCATTCAATGTAAGTATTTTCCATAATAAAACAAGTTTCACTTCATAATATTTATGTATATATATTTTCATGTATATCAATGTAAGTTCTGGCAATGAGTAAATTGTGATTTTCTGCATTGTGTTTTGATAGAATGCTAATGTTTTTAAAAGAAAATACTAAATTCTTAGAAAGTAAATCCTTCTGGTATTTCTTAGTAATAATAAATAAAAGTAGGGGTTATTTTTGGATCTGATTGAATTTAGTAGCTCTGACAAATGGAGACAAATAATAAACTGAATATATTTGGAGAGACTTTCTCATTTGTCACCAAAATTATATGCTTAAAAATAAACCATTAATAACTACAGTTCTTTTTATTTATTTTTTTAAATTACACTTATTGGAATGAGATGGTTAATAAAATTATGTAGGTTTCATGATTCTTTATTTAGAAAACCCTGAAGATTCCACAAAAGAACTATTAGAAACAATCAACAAACACAGTAAAGTTTGCAGGATACAAAATCAATGTACAAAAATCCACTGCATTTCTATATACTAAATGAAATTTCAGAAAAATAAATGGAAAAAACAATTCCTTTTGTATTTGCAACAAAAATAATAAAATACCTAGGTATAACCTTAACAAAGGATGTGAAGGACCTATATACCGAAAGCTGCGAAGCATTATTAAAAGAAATTGAAAAAGACACAACGATTCAGGAAGATATTCCATGTTCATGGATTGGAGGAGTCAACATAGTTAAAATGTCCATATTATCCAATGCAATATACAGATTCACCACCCCCCCCTAAAAAATCCCAATGACATTTTTTAAATAAATTGAATAAAAAATCATCAGATTTGTATGGAACCACAAAACACCCCAAATGTCAAAATAACTTTCTTAAATAGAAAAGACGTCTGATTAGTTGAAATGTTTAACTGATAGAGAAAGCCTTGGAAATACTTCTTTTCTGTTTAATAACTGCAGTATAGTAGATACAATTTAAATTCTGTTAGTACTTGAGAATTTCTCATTACCTCAAAGTCTTTATTCTAAACATCAATTATATATAAATATATAAATTTAAAGACATTAGAATGAATGTGTACTTATTAGCTCAACAATCTTTCCTGTAAATATATATATAAACACTATATACGCATCTCCATTATATTTGTGTATTTATATATTTTTTGGCTTCTGTGTACACTAACACATGTACATTTCCCTCTAAAATCTAAGTATAATACTGTTTGTGGAGATTCTTTGATCATCAAGTCTACTTAACTGAAAGGGGTACTGTCTTCTACCCATTTGAATTTGAAATGGTAGTTGGAATTAAAATATCAATACAGATTTTAGATAATTCTTGAAGTATTACCAAATTATACTTTGTCAAATTCTGTAAAATCACATTACTTTGTGAAACAAAACCACCCTCTGTGATCATTATTTTAAACAAATAAGAAAATTGCCTCAGAAAAGTTAAGTTACACAGCTGGTTGGTGACAGACTTTTTGGTTCCAGATCATGCCATTTCTACTCAGTGTACTTTATCATACGACTTTTGAAAATTATTACTCTAGATTAAAAGGAATCAAAACAAATACTGGTTTGTAAAGTAGATGCCTGTAACAGTGAGATTCCTTAGGTGGTAAGTGGATATTTAACTGGAGTGAAGACAAGGAGGAGACTAATACATTTTCTTATCTCATTGGGAAGTTTAGCATTACTTACAGAGGAGAACAAATTGGTGCTAGAAATAATTGTAATTACTATATTTGATATCACAAAACCAGGCAAGGAAGTTGCTGGTGGTTAATGTAATTATTGATAGGAAGCTCCTTAGCCATGAAATACAAACATCTTTCCACTGAATAACAGTCTTTAATCTGCAAAGTGAATTATCTTTATATTTTAAAATAAGTAGCTCCCTCATCAGAATATAAATTTTTTTGATTGGATAATTTGTAACATTTTAATTTCCAAGCTTTGCCAATTGTTTTGTGTTTTTTCCACTGTTGATGATTTAGGCAGGAAGTTATACATGAAAGTGACTTGGATCAAATTTTGCAAGAGAATGCAACTAAAACCCCTGATACCAAACTACAAAATACGTTATTATATGATTCAAAAGTCTGGACCACTAAAGATCAGAGAGAACGAAAAGTAGCTGTTCATTTTGTGAAAAATAATGGTATTCTCCCACTTTCAAATGACTGTCTAATTTTGATAGAAGGTAAAGTATTTAAGTTACTGTTTTATTAGATTACAGCTTTGCTTTTGTTTTTCTCTAATTATTGTTAAATATATTTTAAGGACAATCTAGGACATATAAAGTCAAAATACTGATAATTTAAATTTCATAAAATGGAATATATTATCGATAATAGCTGGATTCAAATATATACAAACACACATATATAAATTTACTTGAAATTCTAAATTAAATTCAGATGTTTGCATTTGTTCATTTTGTTGGATTTTTGCCTGTATTTTCTTCCGATCTAAGCTGATTATCAAGCTGAGTAATAATTAAGAGGCTGCTTGTGATGCAGTTGCTGTTATCTTGGCCTCTGGATGTCACTGTTGTTTCATAAAAGTAGATATCTATTGATATCTAAATCAAAGACAGGACTCTTGAAACAAGTAAAGATAATTTGACATGTTTTTTAAAAAATATAAGTTTTGGTCGTATTTGGTTTTGCATTGCTTTTCTTGTTTTTGTCTTATTTTCTTACTTTTGTTTTATTTTTTATCTAATATATTTACCACAGATTTTTTTCCCATGCTAAATTTAAAGTTTCATTATTTTCCTTGAGACTTTTTATTAAGAATATTCCATAATAAAAGGAAAACATCATCTTTAATTTGCATTATGGAAAATTTTAGTTGCATTTTATAAATGATCTTTATTACAATAAGTTATGATCATTTTTATTACTGACATTTTTGTATTTATAAAAGCCATACATAATCCTTTAGAAAACAAGTATATTTAGAATACATATGTATATAATCATTGGTATCATTTTCATGAATATCTCTTGTTTTAATACATTTATAGTGTACCAAAAACTATTTTTATTTCTGTATAATAATTTAATCACCACGACAATTCTATGCAGTTACTATTACAAGCTGTTTTTTGTGCATGAGAAAACTGACCCACAGAGAAGTTAAATGTCTTTCCCAGTATAGGTGGTAAGTGGTAGAACTGAATTATTTTCTGTTTTATGACAGTAGTAACTCTGAGATGAACTTTATCCCTGCTTTGGATGAAATGTAATTATAAGAGCACAAGTAATTAAGTAAATGCTGCCCAATTCCTTTTTAGTAAAGTTATCCCAGTCTCCATTTGCTTTAGCAGCGATTATCTGTTCCCCTACCCTCATGGTCACATACTAGCACTTTAAAATATGTGGCTACTTTGTGGTATCTTATTCCATTAGCAATATTTTTTTAAAATTTTTAATGTTTTAATTGATTTTTAGAGAGAGGGGAAGGGAGAGGGAGAGATATATAGAAATATCAATGAGAGAAAAACATTGATTGGCTGCCTCCTGCATGCCCCCTTCTGGGAATTGAGCCCAAAACCTGGGCATGTGCCCTGACTGGACATTGAACTAGTAACCTCTAGGTGCATGGGTTAACACTCAACCACTGAGCCACGCTGGCCTGGCTAGTTAGCAATATTTTAATCTGTACCACCCTGTCATAGAATTGGGGTAACTATGATGGGTTTTCCAGGAAAAATGAGCAAACACTATACATGAATTCGTGTTACATGAACTATTTGCATCTATACTTTAATTTAATGTTGACCTGAAAGCTTAAAAGATTTATTTCAAACTCAGGACTAAATTTGCATATACATTAGTAGTAGTATGTAGCAAATTTGATCATGAAACTCTTGTCATACTTTGGCTCTCAAATTTATTTTTTAATTCTTTGAACTAAAGTGTTCCTATAATAAAGAGCAACTTGTATACATATAAGAAGAGGGTTAAAATTTCACAAGCCTTATGTTTTGCTCAAGTCTCAGCATTTTTGTGTAGTGGTTTCTTTAATCACTGTGCAGGGACCTAAGTTTACAAATTATTATTTTTTAGAATGAATGTATAAATGTATTAAATCCCTAAATTAATGGCTTCTGTTGTCTTTTTCTGTCGATCCCTTTCATCTTTTACTATACCTCATGTGTTACTTAACTGGCACCTCACTTTGCCTATATTATATTTCTACTACTTGAAGGGTTTTTTATTCTTTTTAATAGGAGGTACACTGAGCGAAATCTACAAACTCGCAAACAAGTTTCATAGTGTAATTCCTGTGAGATCTGGCCACGAAGACCTGGAACTCCTTGACCTTTCAGCACCTTTCCTTATACAAGGGAAAATACGTCACTATGGGTCGGTTTTTAGTTCTGGGAACTTTGTGAATTAAAATTTCTTTAAGATTAATTTTTACTTTCTTATTTTATTCTGCTTGTAACTGTATACTCAATGGATACTTATTGAGTACCAATTTTCATTTACTAGATTTTAGTATACATTTATTGTTTTGATAGCATATAATATTGAGTGCCTACAATGTGCTAGATATAAGGCTATCCAGAGACTAATCCATTTGTTTTCTTTCATAAGGATTTATATATTAATTGCAGAGAAAGGTTCAGAGCTGCCTCCTAGTAAAAGTTAAGTGATTGAATTCCAGAGTTTCTGTGGTACAAAGTTACAAATGAGTTGCCACTGAGTGACAGAATATATCAGAATACATTAGGAACTAGAAACAGATTTTTATGTTTGGAACGAGGCAGTCAGAATAAAATCTCCTTTTCTTCCACTTGATGAATTACCCTGGAATGCTCTGCTTTGAGAAACCTTGGATTATAGAATACATCTTATCATACCAGCCCTCTCCCTTTCATACTCCTATATTTGTAGCAATTGTTACTCATTGGTATAATGTGTAAATCTTGAATTCAGTTGGAAACAACATCATGATAACACTATGATTATGACTGTTGAAGTCCATGGTAGGCATGTGGAGATTGCCCTGGGTTCTGTTCCACATAATAATATCATAAAACTTCAGGCATAAGTTGAAACTAGTGTGCCACTGAGTTAAAGCCCTGGGTTATAGCTATGTTTACTCTGATGTGCACAGTGTTTTTATTTATCTCTCATTGAACTCATGACCTCAGAGTCGAGTTCATCAAGGTTTATCCAGCAGTTCAAAAAAAAAGTCTGTTGCCTGGCCAGAGTGGCGCAGCTGGTTGAGCGTTGTCCTGTGCACTGAAAGGTTGCCGGTTCAATTCCAGTCAGGGCATATACCTCTTTTGCCAAAGCAACAAGCTTTTGTTTTTGTTGTTGCTCTCTATTATTTTCGATTGTTCTTATTTTTATTTTCTTCCTTTCATTCAGTTTCCTTAGTTTTTCTTTTCCAAATGTTTTCATTGAACACTTTCCTCACTCAATTCATTAAGTCTAATATTTATTTTACTATTTATATGTAAGTCTGTAATTTTCTCCTCAAAAAAATAGCCATGGCTTTAACCCAACATTGATGTGGTGTTTTTCTTGTCACTGCTAAATGTTTAATAATTCCTATTATGATATCTTTGGCTCATGAATTTGTTAAAGAAATTTACACATTTCAGGTGTCTATTTTTGTTTGCATTTTGATTAGATGACTTTTTAACCAAATAGTGTGATGCATTTCATGATTTTTTTGAGATTTGTTTAGCTTTGCTTTATCCTAGAATATGTCTGTTCAGATTTTGAATATATTGCATAGATTTTTTAAAAGAATTCTTCAATAGTTGTTTTTAGTGTTTAATACTGTTTACTTATGTTCATTATAGGCTTATTAATCATATTCAAAACTTTTTTATGCTTTGTTGTTTTATCTGTTCAATCACTTCTTAGAGAGCGTGCTTACTGTCTTGTGTGATTGTGGATTTGTGACCTTTTATTCTGTCAATGTGTGCTTTAGATATTTTGAGACTGCTGGTTCATTCAGGTTTAGTATTTAATCTTCTGGTGAATTAGTTGTTTAGTATACTCTTTTGTAATGACTTTATTTCTAATCATGATTTTTTGCCCTAAGGCAAAATTATATAAGGGTTTTAGTTTTTTGTTTTGTTCGTAACTGCTTGGTGTCTTATTCTCATTTCTTTGCTTTCATGTTCCTGTCTTGTTATCTTTTAGTAGGTCTCATGAACAAATACCTATGAGTAGATTTTAGTTGTTTTTTAAATAGATGAGTTTAAAATGTTGATTATTGTTATAATTAGATTTTATTCCTATATTTTATGTTGTTTCTCACTTATACTATTACTTTTTTCCTGTTTATTTTTTGTTATTATTTTGCTTATTTTCTTCTTCAGTATTCTATAGAATTGATTTATAAAATATGTTCTTAATTTTATCTTTTTTCCTCTTTTACATCAGAAGTAATGTATTTAATTTTTATGTGCTACACTTAATTTTTAATTTGTATATTAATTTCAATTTGTATATTTGCTTTATCAATGTCTAAAGTTAATATTACCCTTTTTAAGGCAATAGTATTTCTTTCAATTACTTTTTCCTGTTTATAAAAACAACTTAGATTTGTTTAAAACATGGAGGTGATAACATTTGTTATAGTTACCCTCTATTTTCGCCCAGATTGCAAGTAGAAAGGAGTCTGCATGAACTTCTTGAATATTGACTTTCATATTTTTATTTAAATATGTATTTGTATCATCTGAACATTATGATATGTAGTAAAAATTACTTTAAATTTGTACATAAGGCAAAATACTTATATACTAAATAATATACAATTTTAGCATATTATATAGTTCTAAATTGATTTCTATTATAAAGAATTACTATAGTATTAAACTGTAAACCTCTAAATATGTATTTACTGGATATATTACCCCAAATGTTTCTAGTACTGACTTCTGTAGCCAGAATAATTTACTTATATTAGCTATATTTGATTAAGACCTTGGCTATGGTTTATTGTTCACAGAGCCATATCATGAAAGTTCTTATAGATTGTGTCTAAACGTTTTTGTTTTACCAAATAAGGAAATCAGCCAAATTAATTGATAATCTGGACCTGAAACCTCTCTCTTATTCTCAATTTAGTGTTATTTATTCTGAACTCTATTTTTTATTGCTTCTATTGTAAAAAGCTTATTTTTTTAATTTTTTAAATTTTTTTCATCCTGAAGTTTCAGTTTTATCTTACTTTTTAATTAATTAATTTATTTTTGTTACAGATATTTCTCCTTTATCCCCCACTGATTCCCCTCTTCCCTCCCTCCCCGCCCTGTCCCCAGCTTTGTTGTCCATGTCCATTGTAAAAAGCTTATTTTTAAAAAAATAATTATAATGTGCACATTACAATACAGGAGGGACAGTACTTTTTTGTTTATTTTTTAAACTGTATATTATTATGAGTTCTAAGTAATTATAATAAATTATTTTTAAATGTTTATTTTTGTTTTATTACTTCCAGGTGTAAAACGTGTTCTAGTTTGAAACCAATACAAAATCTAAATAATGTGATTGATAAAACATCATGGTTTCCTTCTTCTGTGGCAGAAGGTTAGCCAAATTTCTATGTCCTGTAATTTCAACTGTTTCAGTATTTGTAGGTATAGTAACCAGAGCAAAATGATTGTAATATGAGTATAAAGTAAATATTTAAAATATTTGGAAACTTAACTTTCAAGCATCTGCCAGTCTCTTTTAATCTTTATTCATATTTTATTGTTCAATAATTTGTTTCAGTATTAATCATTAATCCCAAATACAGCCTCTGAAAAATCTCTCCAGTTCATAGTACCTTGAAATTTAAGAATTTTCGAGATAGCTATTAAAACTTTTTACCCAATACAAGTCTTCAACTGGAACAGAATCTGTGTATATCACATTCTCAATTGTGGTCACCTACCCTTGGCTTAAAACTCTTTCAGTGACATGGGACTCACCACATTGCAAGGCAACATATTCCCTTAATTTTTAGGCAGTTTTTAATTGTGAGGCAAAATATACCTGCCTATAATTTTAACCTGGGCCACATGCTATTTACTAGAATTAGTGTATGTCTATTCCCTCTTCTATAAGATCAACAGACTTTGTACATTTGAAAATATCTGTTGAGCCTTCATTTAGTCTTTATCTCAACAAGCCAGCATCTCATTTCTTTTGGTACTTTTCCATATTTCTTATTTGGTTATCCTCCTCAGTAAACATTTCACTTTATCGGTGCTCTCATCAAAGTTTGGCATTCAAACTGGAAATAGGGCTGCAGATATTGGCCAATTCAGAATATGAACAAAACTTTAATTTCCCAAAAATTGGACACTCTGCTTCTACTAGCCAGAAAATTTCATTGTAGAGGAAGTCCTTGAATAATGTAATTTCATTCATTGTCATTTTGTGGCATAGAGGAAATGCCTTGGGAACTTAACTCTTGTTTATATCAATTAGCCTCTGGTAAAATTGGTTTTGTTATATATTGTTTCGCCTCAGTTCCAAGAACCTGTTGACAATGTTAAGTAAGAACTTACTGTGTAGATATTAATTTGTATATTGGTTTTGTTTTTCTGCTCTTTTAATTCAGCTATATGATACTGCTATCTCTTTTTCTGTTTGTGGTCCAGAGAAATTCCAGGTTGTTTTTACATGAGCTTCTTGCTATCCAGCTTGGTCTCCCTAGTCTATTCTTAATGCAGTTGTCTGTTTGTTTGTATGGTTCCTCAGAGTAGATTTTATGTTCATATTTCTTGGTTTTAGATCACAATTTTAACCTGTTGAGACCTTTTATCCAAAAAATCAATTTCTCTGTATTCATTTCTGTCATGACTATATGCCTTAACTTATTCATCTTACTTGTCCCTTTTATTAGTTCCGTTTAAATATTGCTTCCACAAGTGGAAGACAGCAGTCCATTCTGTAAACATTGAATGTCTTCCACTTCCAGACAGAAAAATGTTCATTGAACTTACAAATTTTCATATGATTTACTATCTAATTTCTTCCTTTTTTCTCATTTTACCAAATTATGAAATCCCAGATTTCAACATTTTTGTCCATTCACCCAGATGATATATCTTAAAAAATAAATGATTCCTATGCATATAGTACAAAGGGGAAAGACGTTACATAATCATAAATATGAACTACATGTTATTAAGCATTTGGTAGTTTAATTGTCTTTCATAAGGCTAACATGCTATTAATTGTATTTCATAAATCAATTTTTATGTTTTTTATTAAGATCAACTGATTTTAAAGATATATTAATATTTAATCAAAAAAGATACAATTGTTTATGAGTCATTGACGCTATATAGGTATAGTGTAATGTTCCAAAATGAACCTGCTAAAATGAGCTTAATATGTTGGTATTAGAGAATCAAAAGGTATATGTATCAGTTTTGTTTCTCTCTTGAGTTATTTTAGTAAACAAAATTAACAGGTACATACTATCCTAAAACAAATTCGTATAGCTTAATCTTTTTTTTCTCTAGTATTGGGTATTGTACCCCTTCAACATGTGTTTGTGATGACATTTACTCTTGATGATGGAACAGGAGTATTAGAAGCTTATCTCATGGATTCTGTAAGTAACAAAGGTAGTAAAGATATTTCTAAGTAAAAATAGTATTTTTTGAATTTTAATATATTTTTTCATACCTGCTTTATTACTAAGAAGATTTAAGGCAACTTAAAAAAATATATGAGTGCACAGATCTTAAATTGTCTATGTGTTTATCTCTTTTGATATTACACTATAAATCTTAATGTCCAAATAATGAAAATTTGAGAAATAGAAATTTTAGGAGAGAGTAAATTTTAAAAATATGTTTTTATTGATTTTTTAAAGAAAGGAAGAGAGAGAGAGAGAGAGAAACATCGATGTGAGAGAGAAACATCAATCGGCTGCCACCTGCGATGCCCCACACTGGGGATCTAGCACACAATTGGGGCGTGTGCCCTGACCAGAATCGAACCTGTGATCTCTTGGTACATCGGATGGCACCCAGTCCACTGAGCCATACCAGCCAGGCGAGAGAATCATTTTTTATACCACACAGAAATTCTGTTCCAGGAGCCAAAGGCAGAGGTATGGTCACACCCTCTAGGCATTAACAATCAGCATTTCACTGGGCTTTTTAAGTTTCCTCATTTCATATTAGAGGGAATAAAATTATTTTGACAGGGAGATCATTACACTGGGTGAAGCTATGGCGCTTTCCACAGGACCGCCCTCATTTCCGACAGTTCCTAGTTTGGGGATTCCCAAGACCATCCTCACTCTGGCACCAGTTGCAAGTTCAGAGGTCCCCAAGGTCACTAGAAAGTCACAGAATTTACTGAAAGCTATGTTTTTACCCTCTTCCACTTCCCCCACTCACCTCCCCCTGGGATTCGCCACACTGTTGACTGTGTCCATTTTTTCTTTCTTTCTTTTTTTTTTGTTCAATCTCTCTATTCCCCATCCCCATCCCTACTCCCCCCCCCACAACAGCTGTCAGCCTTCTCTCTATCCATGAGTGTTTCTTTAGTTTGCTTGTTAGAAAGAATACAGATTAAAATAATCCAAGGGAAGAGGTTCATACCGCAGAGTTCAGGAAAGTTTCAAATGTGGAACTTTTCCTTGTCCTCTTTCATGGAGTAGAAGACAGCACACAGTTACTTTCCTGGCAACAATGTGTAATGGCACATATGGAATATTGCCAATCGGGGAAACTCAAATGAGCGTTGGTGTCCAGAGTTCTTAACTGGAGTTCTATCATGTAGTCATGGTTGAATATACATGTGACTGATCTCAGTCTTCAGCAACACCCTCCCCCCAAAACTCACCTGCCAGAGTCAACCTAATACTACATAACACAAAATCGTGTTGTTAGACTGTCCAGTGTGACCCAATGTCCCCAGGCAAACAAAGACACTCCTGTCAGGCATGACATTCCAAGGGCTTAGCGATTATCTCCCAGAAGCTAAGGAAAAAGGCTGGTGACATTAATTTTTTACTGCACACATTGTGAAAGAATCTGAGGTAAGGTTGAGATTTTCTCTCCTGCCTAAACAATTTATTTATCCATTTATTAAATAAATATTTAATGAGCACCTTCTGTGTGCCAGGTACTGTTCGCTGTGATAAAGATATATCAGTGAGCAAAGCAAGCATAATCTCTTTTTTCCCTATAATCTAGTAGAAGAGAAAAAAAAAATTTAATAAATTTATACTATATGTTATACTCTTAAATGTAATACTTTGTAGACACTCAATATATGTGGTGTTAAGAGAATAGTAAGCCTCACTGTTTTCCAATTATTATTCTTTTATTAAGTTAGAGCCATTTAACTTGATTTTATATCACAAATCCGTTTTTAGATTAAAGTAGTAAATCAGATTTTAGAGTTCAGACTAGCACTATAGTTTATGAATTCTGAAATCTTGACAGAGTGACATACCCTAGATTATTTTAATTAGATAGTATTAAAATATGGGGGTTGGCAAAAGTATATTTATAGTTGTTTGTATGGGAAAAGACATGCAGCATAGCTTTATTAACTCAAAAGAATGTCACATTGCCCACCCTTTTTGTATTCATTATAACTTTAATAAAAGATTAATATCATTTTCTTTTTTTTTTCTATAATTTTTTAAGGACAAATTCTTCCATATTCCAGCATCAGAAATCCTAACCAATGATTACCTTCAGGAAAGTATGGATATGATCATGAATATGCTTTGCCCTCCAGGAATAAAAATTGGTAGGCAAATAATACTTTAACAATCCCATTCATTCTTTTTTGAAAAATAGCACTTAGCGTATATCTAATCTATGATGTTTGGTGATACGAAAACTTGGAAGTGTGAATCCAAGTAAATTACTAAGTGGTGCTTGATTACTGTGTGATCTGCCTTTGGTGGAGACAGCGGCAGGGATAAAATGGGTATGAATCATAATTCCTGAAATGAAAAGATTTTTAAATATTTTGAAATATAATAAAGGGGAAGCAGTTTTGATCTGTGACCTATTTGATACTATGTTTATGCATATAAACATTTTATTTGAATTTATATTGACGGATGAAATTTTGATAAGAAACATTTTCTATAATAAACTCCGTTAAGCCAGTTCAATTCAGCATTAACTAGTTTTAGATTTTATAATATTTTATTTTACCAATTATTTTTAGCAGTTTTAATTGTTTTTGATTTAACATTTGATTTATCGACCAGATCTTTAGGTCAGGTTGTATAGATAACACCTACGTTGAAACTTGCAGATCTAAATCGTATTAAGACAATTTGACCCTTCTAACAATTTTTCATCAGTAACAAATTTACCAGCTGCAGATTTAATTGTTAGCTTTTATAGGTTATTTTTAATCAGGCATATCCCCTTTATTTTCTATGCATTTTATAACAATTCTAAAAAGATAGTTTTTGTGCATCTGTAACAAAGTTTAACTTATGTACTTTTATTTGATATCAGTTTTAATTTTTGTTGGCTGTTTGGATTCTTTTGGATAGATTTCTGGAAATAAACCTGCCATATCAAAAAGCACAGGTCTGGTAGACTTCTGATAAATACTGCAAAATGGCTTTTCAAGAATATTATACCTATTTATAGTGCCTGAGTTGCTTGACACTTGCCAGTATTGGGAACTAGATTAATTGTCTTTAAAACTCATATTTGAAGAAACATTCAGAAACTTTTCTGAATGTTATAAATAGATTTACTGTGGTCATAACCAAAGCTTGGAAATGGCATTTATGGCTGCCAACTTTGCCTTGACTCGGGACTTGGGACCTGTAGTTTCACTTTAACAAATGCAAGGGGTTCAGCTGATTTGAACTTCAGGAAAGGTTTCTTTGCAGTCAACCAAGGGTAAAAAACAAAACAATAAAACAGGGAGATTAGTTAGCAATTAGCAGGGGAAAAAAGCAATAAAAATTGGGAATGAGATCACTTACTACCTTCTGAAAGCCCCACATTACCTTTTCCTATTGTCAAGGAAAAGTTCAAGTTAGACAGAATCACTGCAAAACAATAACAGGAACCCAGAGTGTAATTTAGAAGAGTAGATATTGTTACATTTGGTAAGTTTATGTATTTACTCTTCTAGCTTCAAATTAAATATGTTAATTTTTCTAGCTAAGCATTATGCTTAGATATACCAGAGTTATTTGTTTAATTTTAATGGTTAAATAACATCTTCTTTTGGATTTATAGATACATATCCATGGTTGGAATGCTTCATCAAGTCGTATAATGTCACGAGTGGAGCGGAGCAGCAAATTTGCTATCAGATTTTTGACACCACAGTTGCAGATGATGTTATTTAATATTGTTATTCAATTTAGCATATGTAAAATATTATAATTTTAAAAAACATTATTTTCTATAGATTGCTATAAAGTGTGTAAATGATTTAGCTCAATAGTTTATTTTTCATTTGAACCACTATTTAATTTTTTTTAAAGTAGACATTGTGTTGTTATCTTAACACCTTCTTGTAAGTTAAAATGTTCTTGTTGCTCACAGATATCCAGTATGATGGCTGCTGGGGTTATAAAAGAAAGGGACAATGAATAAATAAAAACTTGGCATTTACAGAAGCTATTTTGTTACCCTCATGAATAATCACTTTCCCTGTTGGTTTTGCCACTGATTTCTCTGCCATCCACCATCCCTGGTTGAGTTTCTTTTCTTGCCTAGATTTTTATCTCAGCACTGTTGATAATTTTAGCATGACTGTGGGATTAGAAGATATCCTTGCATTGACTGAGTTCGAGGTATATAGTGGCTAGTGGTTTGGTTTTGATTTACAAAGGGATCTGCTTACATAAATATTCCTCAAAAAAATGCTTTTTCCAGTGAGCTACAGTGTACTTTATTTATTTTTTTATCCTCACTCGAGAACATTTTTGCATTTATCTTCAGATAGAGTGGGAGGGAGAGAGGGAGAAAGAGAGAGAGAGAAACATCGATGTGAGAGAGACACATCGAGTGGCTGCCACCCACACAATCCCAACCGGGGTCAGGGACAAACTGCAACCGAGATACGTGCCCTTAGCGGGAACCAAACTCAGTACTCTCTGTTCTGCGGGCCAACCCTCCAACCGCTGAGCCAAACCGGCCAGGGCTACAGCTTACTTTAAAGAGTGATGTACTTTAAGTGGGAGTGGTAAATTGCTTTTTTTGGGTGCTGATATTGACCAGTTTAGGATAAATCTATTTTTTAAACCAGAATTATGTACTTTGATTGCTTATTTCTCTTCATGATATTAGAAGTCATTCCATTCTACCTCAACTTAATTAAGTGGTCAGATTTACAATGTTAGTGACTTTCTTATATTATCCTTTTTTAATAGTTTTATGTAAATATATTTCAAGTTGAACATTAAATGAGATGTTAACTTAGTATATAGTCTACTTTTTATATGACAATATGTCAAATTTAAAATAATGAATATTCAGTTTTATAAAAGCACTTCTCTATATCTATATACATCTGTAGATTTATGTATGTATTTGCTAAAGACTGAGAGATACAGATTTTTTCTAGTTCAATAGTGAATAAATGCACACAATTCAGCTATTTGTTTACCCTATTTGAGCTGAGGCATGATTTGAGACAAATAATCAAAGCAGCTATATCAATATAACAGATATTTAGGACTGTCTAGACAGTAGGTACTGTGCTTAATATGCATTTCAGTTTTACAACAACCCATTTTCCTGATAAGAAACTAAGGCTTGATTGATGAGCTGACTTGTCAAAATTCATACAATTGTTAAATGCCAGTCAGTACACTCTGTTCAGAGGTGGCACTGTCCACCACTCCAGGATTCTTGAGCGAAAGCTAGCATGGGGTTTTCTGCAGACGATCCTGCCTTACCTATCTGAAGCACCGGAAGTCAGAGAAGCCAGTGATGTCTTTTCTTACACTAACCAAAAGACTTTTAATACCTTATTGTCAAAAAAGAATTGAATATCTGATTTCCTCTGATCATAATAACTCTAAATTCTGGTTCCTGAGTATGTTAGCACATCCTAGATCTAACCACCTGTCGTCCCTACCACCAATTATCAGCTCGTTTGAGACAATGAAAAAAGATTCATGCTGCTGTTTGGGGGATTTAAACTCTTGGTTCAAAACATATTCAAGGAAAACTTTTCAAACCCTAGAATTGAACAGATACGTTTCAGTATTGCTGGTGTGCTAGGGATACAAAGGGGAGGGAGAGACTTTCTCTTCCTGCAGGAGGCACCCATTATGGAAGAGTCGGGCCCATAGGGGCCTCGGGCCGACAGTGTCAGCCTGTGCTGTCTCCAAAGTCACAACTCGTCACATGAATCTTCATGATGGTAGGTTTCTCTTTTGTTTCTTTTTTCCGTAAGCCCCACATTGTCATCATTAGTTTTGCTTTTTAACTTTTCTGTTGAGCAAAAAGAGTTCCATCAACACAGTGTTTTCCACGGGGCATGTTTGCGCCTCCTGCCAGTCAGGAACCCAGAGTGATGGAGAATTCTGTCTCTGGAGTAACAACTTGATGGTAGTTTATTATGCCCAGATTTGAGCCCTGTCCCCTGCATTGTTCCTGTGAATACTGGTAAAGTCTTCCTGACAGATTTAAAATTACATAAAGTTTAGAAAGTCAGTGTGTACAGCCTCTTTCTCAGTTTCCACTGTTTTAGATGCTCCTGGGTTGTTCTCAGCCCTGCGCTGTTCTGTGTGGGGAAGAGCATGTGTCTCAGGAAACCTGAAACGGTTGATTCTTCTTTATCTAGATATGATCCTAAAATGCACAGCGCTTGCAGGCTCTCTCCATGGTGGCCTTCATTACTCTGCTTTATGTGAGGGAACTGTATATACCCAGATGCAATGCCTTACCCCCCCTTTTTTTTTTAACCCCTGGCCATGCTGTACATTGGGGGTTATTTCGAAATGAATATAGAGAGACTTGCGTTGATGGAAGTGAAGAAGCTGAATACATCCCTGTCCACCTGAGATCGCAGTCGCCACACCATCGGGCACTGGCTGCCCAGTGAGCGAATCAGCGTGGACCCTGTGCTGTGATTACTTGCAGATCACAGGAATGGGCCAGAGTCTTCTCCCGCCCTTGTTTCCAAAGTCAAAGCATGAGTCTCACTGCCTGGACTCTCAATCCAGCCGGTTCTCTTCCACACTTTCTGGAAGCTTTCCTTGGTGTCTGGGGAGAAAAGCTAGATTCTTCTGATTATTTCAGTGGTTTGAATTTGACCAAGCATTTCATCATTTTTCTTTTGTCCAGAATATTTTTTAAATAAAAGTAACATAAGAATTTGAAACAACATAAAGTATGTAAAGTTGAATTAATTGTTCTAACTAGTGCCCCAGAGGTAATTACTTATGTAGTTTTCCACTGAAAAAAAAGTTTTAAAAATACCATCACAATATAAATATATAAAACAGTTTTCTCAACTGTTTTCATACATACGTGTAAATATAGAGATACAGTTTTTTAGAAAATAGCATCACACTATATATTTGTGTAATATTGGCTTTGGTCACTGTATAGAGTAGACTTTTTTTATGTCAGTACACACAGAGGGAGAAACTTAGCATAAGTAACTTTTTAGTGGGGAATTCTCTGATGATTTCACTTTATTTTTGAGGTTGGTTTTTTTTTTTTTTAATCTATTTTAAGTGTTCTATTTCTTATTGTGCTTTGTAAGGATGTATTCCTGTTAACCTCTTTTGTTAGTTTTATTACTTCATAATATTATTTTTATTATTATTTTAGTCTGTATTTTATCTGGTGTCATTTTCCCTTTACATGAGCTGGAGCCCCTGGGATCGAGTTTCACAACATTTTCTGGGGGTTTTCAGTTGACCAGAATTTTCAAAGTCTATCCAGACTTACTAATACAGATTAGAATTCTGCCATGATATAGTTATCTTGATAGTCTTTAATACTTTAAAGAACTTATTGTGAAAAGAAGTATGTTAATGTAAGAAAGGAAAATGCCTTGTAATACTTCTCATCAAGCAATCCAGGCTCTGTGAAAGCGTGAGGTCACGCTGAAGTTCAAGAGCATCACTGTAGGGAAATGAAAGTATTTCTTCCTGTGCTCTCCCCCCAGGGTCTCGGAATGGTGTCCACGCTTTCTACCCACTCCAGCAAAAGAGAACTAGACAACTAGTAAAATCTGGGCGTAGTGATCTCTTCCCTCTGGTACTTGGAAATAGTATCAGAACTCACAAAGCAGGAACTCACCGTGTGCTCTGGTATGTGAGATTATATCTTCTTTTGACAGTCAGGAAATAAATCAGTAGCACTATGTATTATTTTTCCCTGCAGTATTGTCATTTAAGCTGTTGGGAAATTTGAGATCATTTACGGTTTCAAAGTGATGATCGTTTTACGTGGAGATTAATGTCCCCCATTCGGGACTGCATTTGATGGGTTGAGAAGTGTTAGGCATCAATTACATGATACGGATAATGCATCAATGTATATGGGTGCTCTCCTTCAAATGTGCCAGTTGGTGAAACATGGATAGTTCAGAAACTCCTCTGCTATTTTTATACAATAGCAACATCTTAATGTCTGCTTTTCCCCTTGAAATCTAGGCCCCAAAGTCACATTGGTAATGTGTGTGTGTGTGTGTGTGTGTGTGTGTGTGTGGCTTTTATTCTCTGCTTTGAGTTTACTTTGCAGGGTACTATATTGTAATTTACTTGACATCCTAGTCCACAACTGTCAAAGAAATGTTTAGCATGTATAAAAGGTTTATTTTGTTTCATCTTTTCACAATATTTTGATGTTTTGGAGCATATGTTAACTGAAGACCTATTTATCATCTATTCATAAAATATTCCATCAAGTGTTGTAGTTTCTATACTTTATATAGTCATAAATTTCAAATACCTTCTTTTTTTCTATACCTTTAGAAGGATTTTTCCCTTAGAAATGTGAACTCCCAGAGAAAAGCCAATTTGTCATTACATATAACTCTAGTCCTCAACAGATTTTGTCCTCCATTGGAGGGCAAAGTCTCTAGAATTTAAAATCTCTTGCCTAGTTTAATGATCTCTTAAATGACTTTCTGTCACACTTTCTGTCCCAAACTTCTGTAACAGTTAATAGCAAAGGTAATACATTTTTAAAAATTAAAGTTATTAATTTGATGGAGACAGATTAAAACATAGCTTGCATTGGACAGGCATTGTTGTGGTTTTATTTGACTAGATAGGAAAGTCTATGTGTTTATTCCCCATTAGATAAAGTTCTAGAATAATAAACTTGTTCTTAAATTTTAGAATAATTGACAGATATTTCTGTACAATGATCAAAG